ATCACGTTATTTATTTTTGAAGTTCACCTTTTCTATAATATATACTTTTTCTACCCTTTCTTTTTCTTTTATACTTTCAATATGCTCTATTTTTCTATTCAATAATGTATATCTGTATTTATTTTCTCTTGTACAACGTTGACGCATGTTACTTACATAAGAGTCATATTTTTAATTTTATTTTTTCGATAAATATCTCTCTTGATACCACATGTCTTCTCCTAATAATGAGAATTGTATTCTTGAAAAGTCAGTAAATAAAATAGCTAAAAATTAAAATAATAAATGTCAAACATACTGCTGTGTTAGTAACCTTCATTCTGAAAAAAGTATATATACGATAGAATGTCACTCCATTTAATGTTACACCAGTCAACCCCAAAAATTACTTACACAAAATGCAGTTGTAATTATAAGACAAATGGATGCTGCGAATATTGTTGAGAAATGTATTGGTACTTGAACGGAATGATCATCAGCTGTTTTACCCGTTTTGTCATCTATAGCAGATGGCACTTTTCGACTAGGTTTTGTGATTGTCGCTTTTGGTGTATATTTTGACGCTTTCGCTGCTTCTTGATCCGCATCAATAGCAGCTCGAGTGCGCTCTCGAGCATTACTACTAAGTTTATTTGACATTGTCTCTGAAAAATAATAACAAAATTGTGCTGCTCTTATATGAATAGTACAGTAATACGAGTATCTCACTCATTATTCAGGGTTCTTATTAAAAATCCAGTCTAAACGAAAAAAAAATTGAACGAGGCCAGTACTCATGTGACACTTTCCAGCACAGTGATATTCAGAACCAGCACGTCTTCAGTTATCTATTGATAACAAAATATTTCTATTTCGGCACCGAATTCAGTAAATAAGAGCGACATGTTCTCCATCACGTCAGTCCGTAGTAACAGTACTCCAGTATAGTCGGGTCGCCCTCGTTAGCCCCACGCGAAAATAACATTCAAACACATCAAAATGTTCCTCAAACGCTACTCTATGTATTCTAAAATCGCAAAATCTCGCATATT